AAAGTTAAGGTTTCTAATCAGCCAGAAGACACCTCTAGTTGTCTGAAAAAAAATGATGTTGGACTTGTGGGATTATCACAAAGAGCAGTAAGCTTGGAAAGTCTAATGCCTGAAGCACAGGAATTCCTTAGCACTGTAGTAATCTGCTAATATCCCTAACCTGGAACACAGGTTATGCTAGTTATAAATCACTTAAGAGACACTTTCCTTGTTGCTAGAGTCAACTTCTGAAGTCGATAGATTTCAACCAGAGTAAATGGAGAAAGGTTTTGCCTACAGGTGGATGAAGCCAGCAGAATCATTATCTGAATTCCCCCAAGTACCTGCTGCTGTTGGGGCTGTTGGTCAGCAGCTCCACTGCCCACCGGCACAATCCTGTCATGGGATTTACCTAGTGGCAAGAGAAGGATTTTATTCAGCAATCTGTACATGACAATTCAAGGGTCTTATAGCTAGAACGGCCAAAAACTCAGAAGCTACAAGAGTAGGGCTTTGCAGGTACTCCTTCCAAAATCTGTCATTCAAGCTCAGAGCTAGATACCTGCTGTGGAAACAAAAAAGTTGCTTTTGCAAGGATGACGAAAAAAAGTACTCAGGAATTAATGTGTTTCTTGTTTGCAGATGCTTCCGACTTTAGCTGCAGAGAAATGCGAACCACCCACTATGTCACTGAGGGGCCTTGCCGCAGCGTCAAGCCTGTCAAGGAACTGGTCTGCTCTGGCCAGTGTGTCCCCTCACACCTCCTTCCCAACTCTATTGGTAGAGGGAAGTGGTGGCGCCAGAACGCCCTGGATTACCGCTGCATCCCTGCTCACACTCGCACGCAGCGCATCCAGATGACATGTCCTGAGCAAGAGACTCGGACTTACAAATTCCGAGCTGTCACCGCCTGCAAATGCAAGCGCTACACTCGCTACCACAACCAGTCTGAGCTCAAGGACTTTGGGAAGGAAACTGTCAGGCCTCAGAAGAACAAGAAGCCCCGTCTCTCCAGAGCCAGGAGCAGCAAATCCAACCAGCCTGAGCTAGAAAATGCTTATTAGACGGTCGCTCTGAGTGGTACAGCCCAGCAGCTCTGGATATTTTACAGGACATCAGATGGGACTCACAGGCCGCAGAATGGGGTTCTGGCTGCAGGAGGTTCCAATTGCTCCTGCTAAGCTGGGTCAAAGGCTCACATAGTCCAAAATGTATCAGATTATAACAACTGTAGTCTGATAAGAGAATGAGATAAATTGAGCTGGTGGTAGCAACACCTAAATTCAGGCTGAGAGGAGAGGTACACCTTGGAGAGTTGCATGAGGTCACGTGGCTTGTACTTTGAGGAAGGCAGAGGAAAGAGGACGTGTTATGGTGACAATCACTACGGTGACAGGAATTTTTAATAGCCTTTTCCAACTTTTCTAGGCACTACGATGCAGGACAATCGTGAGGTTAGGGAACCATCAGGAGAGTTACCACTCTGAATGAGTTGTATAAAATTGGCGATATCAGGGATTTCAACAGTTATGGTGAATGAAGTCAAGTTGTTAGGAAATTAACATCCTGTCAGATGTCCTCATGCCCCAGTTGGTTCCTCTGTTAAGGAAAAACACACCCCTAAACGACACTTGAGTTCTCAAAACAAAAATGTGATAAATCTGTTTCATATCTTTAATTAGAATAATGCAGGATCAACAGATTCAAGATGAGCTTTGACATCTAAAACATCGGATTTGTTTTAGGGACAATTCTACTCAGCGGAGCCGGTTCATGAAATGGATGCTCCTCTCAAACCAGCTAACCGCACTGATGTGTCCTGTATACAGCTAACAATGTGCATAATTTTTACATAAGAGATGCTGATTTTACTTTATTCCTGCAGACAAGATTGACTTTAGCATCAACTTAGACATCTCAATTTACATTTTCTATTCTGTAGAGTTTGGATCATCTGGCTGTACACTTTTTACTGCCAAGACTGGGCAAGGCAAGCTCGGGGAGTAAAGTGCCGGTTCTGCATTAAAGCGAGCCTCTGCTAATTTGAAAGCCACGAATTCCTCCTGAAAAGTCTTTGGTATGCTCAGTTTAGTTCGGCAGCAACTTTCCTTTAACTTAGCTTCTCAACATTCAGACTAGTGCTTGTGTTTTTACATTAACGAATATTATCGGAAAGCAAATATTCACGTGCTGTATATATCCTCTAGAAATGCTAACCCTAGTACCAGATAAACACAATTTGCGATGAAGACAGTTCCTCACTGTTCTTATTTTCTATGTAGAATTTATGCTAAAAATCATATACACTATGGAAATTTCCATTGTTCATAGATTTTTTGCAACTATTTTATGTGGGACCAGAATCTAGGGAGAAAAGCTATTGTTTCAGAGAATGAATTATGTATTTATTTTTTCCTCAGAAATTATTTATGCAATATTTTTCCTTGTAGAGGATGAGAATTAGTACTGCTTTAAAAAATATTAGTCTGTTATTTCGAATTTTCACTACATTGTTAATAAAGTAGCAACGCTGATTAATTATAGGAAGACTCACTGATTTTCGGCTAAAGTTTAAAGCCGGTTTGCTGTAAAGCCTGTGACTCACAGAACAGTCTGGGGCTCGACTCTGGCCAGGGAGCTACATTTCTGTGCTAGAGAATGTCAGGGTCCTTAATCCTCAATCAATAACCCACACATCTCTGAAGAAACTCAGTTCTAGCTAGGACTGCTCATTGCAGTGCATGACATCTCTCACTGTAAGGCTTCCTGGGCAGCTGAGCAGCTCAGGGCCATTTCAATATTCTCATTTCTCCTTCCTCTGGGAAAAGAACAACTCAGCAGACTTCAGGTCCCTCCTACTCCCAGTGACACTTCCCGATTCAGATGTCCACAACCTGATAAAGCCACCAAAGGACCAAATAAGGCCATGAGCTTTCAATCAGGGTGCTTCAGATTTTTCTCTCTGAAAAAAAAAAAAAAAGAAAAGGTGGAACCCCCTTTGCAGGAACTACCAAGGACACTTTTCTTTAAGAAACAAAGATGGTCTCCCATTAAATTAGGGAAAACTGAGCTTGGAACACGTATCATGTGCAGGTCCTTAAATATCGTTTTAAATACTGTAAAGATGAACAGCTTTTCCAAGACAGTCAGCAGATGAGGGTCCTTTCACTACTACTATTTGAAGCCTAACAGACAAATCAAAGACAGACTTTTCTCAGCTATCTGGGATAACATTTTCCAGACTTGTATTTGCTTTCAGGTATTTGGCACTTGGGACTTAATTTTCAGGTCAGAACGAGCACCTTCAAGGGCTTCTTAAGTGCAGTAAGAAAAGTGGAAGTTCAGTTCCTCTCAAAAGCGGGTCCACAGTCTCACTGGCACCTGAAGTTACTGCATTTTCTTTTTATTTTTATGTCGACTGTGATAAGCCAGTAGAAAGAGATTCACTCCACTTTATCTGGAACTTCATGAGGGATTCCAGCCAGTTTAAAAGTATAAGGCTTGCTACAGGTGAACCAGTAATATCCTTCTCCCAAACTTTTCACCTTAAAGATCCGCTCTT